AATGTCTTAGTTCATCACATCGATTGCGATCTTTGTACATCAATACTTATTTCGGTTTCAGTGAATCAATAAATGTTTAGAAATTCATTTGCATTGTTTAACCGAAATTTTTGAATTGAACTCAACGAATTTGCTCAAAAGAGAGCTACCAATCGGCATGAAGTGTGTGCATATGGCGACACAGTCAACTTAACGAAATGTCATCAACACGAATAGCAACCGTGTGAATCGCAGTATCAATTCTGTAGGATATGCTGAGGTTTTCCATTGTTCAATGAGTCGCAGAGTTGGGTAGACTTTTTGTGAGAACCGTGAAAAGACATTTTCAGTAGAAAAAGGTCGAAGAACAAACCTGAGTGTTGAATGTTTTTCATTTTTTTATTCATTTTTTGGATGCCATTTTTTAGTATGCAATTTTTGTGATTCGGTCGTAAAAGTGAACAATCATAAAAATAATTGATGCCCAAGAAAATTGTTTACACATAACCCAACTTATGAGCGTATGCGATGAGTGCACATTTTTTGCAAAGACACGTGGTTTGCATTTGATTGAAGCACTTTTTATCATTATCGAGATATTAAAATAGTTATTTTAAATGTTGACTATTGATTTTTGATATTGTCTTTTCGGTATCAACAGATAATGAACCCATTCAAAGGTGTTCCTGGCGGACGCAGCAAGCGCAAGTCAACGTTGGCAAAGGTTGAAGTCAAGCAAGAGCCTGGTATTAAAGAAGAGCCCAACGACGGTAATGATGTCATGAACATAACACGTTCGAGAGTTCATGGAAGATATCGGGTGAATTACGATGGACCGGTCAACTTTAACGATGATTTCGATGAAGTAAAAGATGAAATCAAATGCGAAGAAGAAGAGACGCGCAAAGATAAGGACTCGACACCATGTGAACGATCGAATAAAAGCGCTGTCACCAACCATGGTGACAACGAAGAGCCTATGGGTTACGCAATCGATGTTCAATCACCAAAACCACTTGGCAGCGGAAACAAACGCAAGGGAAGTGCGAAAAAGCAGAAAAAACGAGCCATTCCCAGGAATGAAGCGGCCAAAAAGCAAAAGAAGCACAAATGCCATGTGTGTAATCATGTGGCAGTTCGAAAGTCTCATCTCATATTACACATGCGAATTCACACTGGAGAAAAGCCGTATCAGTGTGATGTTTGTTCGAAGTCCTTTGCACAAAAAGGTGCTTTGGACAGTCATAAGAAAACGCACGGCCAATTCCGTTGTTCAAAATGCAATCAAGGATTTGAACAAGAATCAGTCAAGACTGATCATGAAAGGCTATGTAATCCCCAGCAATTCGAATGTGAAACTTGTGGATATAGAACGATCTACAAACCAAATTTGGAAAGACATATGCGGATTCACACCGGAGCAAAGCCGTTCGTGTGCTCAGTTTGTTTCAAGTTGTTTTCAAACAACTCTGATCTTCATAGGCATTCAATGACTCACAAAGATGAACTGCCGAATGCTTGTTCGAAATGTGGTCGACGATTTGCCACTCCAGACGATAAGCAATCACACGAAACGCACTGCCAACGAAGTCTTTTTGCATGTAATCAGTGTAATTACAAAACTGTCTACAAGGCTCAATTGAAGCGGCACATGCAAGGAAAACACGGAGCCAGAGGATCGATCGAATGTGAAATTTGCAACAAGAAGTTCGTCGAACGTATTGTTTTAAATCGGCATTTGTCATCAGCACACAGCGACCAGTTCCCGTTCCAATGCTCCAAGTGCTTTGCAGGATTCGTAATCGAAGATGCAAAAGAGGTTCATGAAGATAGCTGGGTCACCGCCAGTATCAATGCTATTTGTGCAAAGAGCATCGCCGAGACAAACAACATTTGAAGATTCACATGCGAAAAGATCACACCGGAGAACGGATTCAATGCGAGGTGTGTACAGCAAGCTTTACCAAGAAAAGTAATGCCGATCGACACATGAAAAGAGTTCACCGTTTGACAAAGAAATAAATCGCGTATTTCATAAATGTATTAAGACACACTTCGCTCATAATTCCTTCAACTATTAACAAAACTTATTATTCTATACATTTCAAACACCTTTACCATTTGAAATCATTTCGATTTATCATCCAATACTTTTTATTGCCACAAATTCATGAATAGCTTCCTTAGATTCAAGCTCCATTGTTGAATGAAACCAAACAAAAATAAATTGTAACAGAAACATAAAGAAAATCGAGTTGACATTTATTTCACAGTTTATTTCTGCAGAAAATTCATCTTGACGAACTAATGGAACAAAAGCCTTTTTTGGCAAATGTGTTATTTCAACGAAGTCCATTACGTTGCGTTCTAATCGAGTTTGTCCGTTTTAATGATGATGTTACAGTTTCAAAGCGTGATTTTATTCACCATTACCAGTAATAACATATTTTGTTTTAATTAATATCTAGATATCATTTGTACATCGGTTCAATTTGCATACTAATTCAGCATGAACGCAGAGCCATGAAACCGAACTGTCAAACTACAACGGGGACCGCGTAGTCGGTTGTCATTCGTTGCGGAACGCGCTAAAAGTATGCATAAGTACATGAGTACATATTTCAAGCATTCTGGTTAAAAAATATTTCAATTATTTATAAAAATATACCTAGTGTATCAATATGAAAACCCATTTTTAATAACATTTTAGAAACGTTTGAAAAAATACCGAAAAAGAATATGAACTTTCTTTTTTTTTTTGCTCAGAAATTCTTTGCTAACATTTTTCTTGTTTTTGATTGACAAAGTGAGGTTAAGTATCTACTGACATGTTCAATGTGTAGAACAAATTTGTGCACTCGGTGGAACAAAGCCATTGTGTGTTTAAGGAGCCACTTTATTCCCATGGCTCCTGAAACACATTTTCAAGCTCACTTTGTAGGAAGCGAACGTAAAAAATGAGAAAATTGAATTAATTGATTTCAAAATTCATTTGAACATCAGCAAATCTAAAGAAAACTTAGATAAATATGTTCATGTTGGAAACATTTTTCTAAATTTGATAATGAGGATGTGTCATCCAAATCATTCATTGCATTTAAATAGGAAATAAAGAAACAACATAATTTTACACAAATATTCATTTTCCACTCGATTTTATCATTTTTATTCACTCCATTAATAATATACGTTCACGAAAATACGTTGTCTTTTTCAAACATAGTAGTTCAAATTCAACGAGTCGTTCTACGAAGGTGCACTTAAGACTGTCTGGCGTGTATTTAATTTGTACTTTATTCTGACAGCCGCGTTGTAATTGATGATGACAGTTCGGTTTCGCCCCTCTGCATGAACGCATGATAAACTTCATCACATTAGCCTTAATTCAATTTTATTTAGGTCAACTGTAGCATTTTTCAGGAATGTCAACCAACAAGTCAGTCGTAAGTCGGCAAATAATTTAGAATCGCTCATTTGATCACACAAACCAAACATGTGTCTCACTTTCACGTTTGATCGTTCAATGTTCATCTCAAACAACCTTCCAATAAGTAGTTCAGTCAGTGCGATGTCCCAAAAAGGAATTGACACCAGTTTAGTGCTGGTTTGCCGCTCTCACACTACAGCATACTGTATGTAGTGTGGTGTGAGAGCAGCAAACCAGCACTAAACTGGTGTCAATTTCTTTTTGGGGTGAGAAATGCAAGACAAACCAATGCGATTCCAATTCGATTTTTATGACATCAAAGCTGAAGAAGATGACTTTATCGCATTCGCGAGGCACGGAAATTGGACAATTTTAAATACTAATGAGTTTACATTCAAATAAACGAAGAAAAACTAACGATTGAGTTTGTTGTTATTTCACAATCGTCTGTTTCAGACAATAAATCCTCCCGACAAGAGACACTCCCAATAGTGGCACACATGAATTTTCCCTCCAAATAATCATACACGATTTAGAACAATGCTATTCTATTACTGCGATGTTCTACTGAATTTCTTCGTATCAACTTTCAATGTGCAATTATCGTGTGATGAAATCTCTGATTTTTAAAAGGCAATTTCTCAATGGGGAATTCTCATAGTTAGCTTAAACTACAATGTTAAAATGTTAACGGAATGTAATGCATCAAAATCGGATATCGTATTTTACCTACGCAATGATTGCACATTCCAAGAATGCATTCTATTTCGATATTACAGATTTAATAGATGTTATGTCGTTGACTTCCTGCAATGTGGAAGTAAATATTGACAGCTTAATGCAATACATCCCTACTAAAAGTATCTGTTGCCTATTGAACATCGAGCATCGCACAATCATCCAGCATTTGTAATGCGATCGATCCTAGTTTTGATAAAAGCCGTGCTCAACATTTGATTTTGTAAAATAAAAATTTCGAATGAATTTAACGAACACTTTTGAATTGAACTCAACGAATTTGCTCATAAGGGATTAGTAGAATCGGCATGAAGTGTGTGCATGTGGCGACGCTGACAACTTAACGAAATGTCACCAACAAGAATAGCAAGCGAACGCATCGCAGTATCAATGCTGTAGATATGCTGAGGTTTGTCATTGTTCATTGAGTCAAAGAGTGGAGAAGATATTTTCAGCAGAAAAAGGTCGAAGAACAAACGTGAGTGTTGAATGTTTTTCATTTTTTTATTCATTTTTTGGATGCCATCTTTTGAGTATGCAATTTTTGTGATTCGGTCGTAAAAGAGAAAAATAATGAAAATCAATTGATGCTCACGAAAATTGGTTGCACATAACCCAACTTATGAGCGTGTGCGATGAGTGCACATTTTTTTCCAAAGACACGTGGTTTGCATTTGATTGAATCACTTTTTATCATTATCGAGATATTTCAATAATTATTTTAAATTTTGTCTATTGATTTTTGATATTGTCTCTTCGATATCAACAGATAATGAACCCATTCAAAGGTGTTTCTGGCGGACGCAGCAAGCGCAAGTCAAATTCGGCAAAGGTTGAAGTCAAGCAAGAGCCTGGTGTTAAAGAAGAGCCCAACGACGGTGATGATGTCATGAACATACTGCGTTCGAGAGTTCATGGAAGATATCGTGCGAATTACGAAGGACCGATCGATTTTGCTGATGACTTCGATGAGGTAAAGGATAGAATCAAATGTGAAGAAGAAGAGACGGGCAGAGAAAAAGAATGGGCACCGTGTGAACGATTGGATGACAGCGCCGCCGCCAACGATGATGACAACGAAGACCTTGTGGGTGATGCAATCGATGTGCTACAACCGAAACCAGTCGGCTGTGGAAAGAAACGGAATGGAAGATCCAACAACAAACGAAACATTCCCAGGAATAAAACGGTCGAAAATCAAAAGAAGCCCAAATGCCATGCGTGCAATCATTTGGCAAGCGACAAGTCTCACCTCAATGTACACATGCGAATTCACACTGGAGAAAAGCCGTATCAGTGTGATGTTTGTTCGAAGTCCTTTACACGGAAAAGTCATCTGAAGGTGCATAAGCAAACGCATGGTCAATTCCGATGTTCGAAATGTTATCAAAGATTTGAGCGCGAATCAGACAAAATCGATCACGAAAGGCTATGTAATCCCCAGCAATTCGAATGCGACACTTGCGGACATAGAACAATCAACAAATCAGATTTAAAAAGGCATATGCGGACTCACACTGGAGAGAAACCGTTCGTGTGCCCAGTTTGTTCCAAATCTTTTGTGAACAGCTCTCATCTCCAAAGACATTCAATGACTCACATCGATGAACTGCCGAATGCTTGTTCGAAATGTGGCCGACGATTCGCCACACCAGACGATAAGCTAGCACACGAAACGCGCTGCCAACGAGGTCTTTATGCATGCAATCAGTGCCATTACAGAACTGTTTACAAGACTAATTATAAGACACACTTGCAATCAAAACACGGAGCAAAACGATCGATCAAATGTGGAATTTGCAGCAAACAGTTCGTCCAACAGATCAAACTAAATCAACATCTATCATCAGCACACAGCGACCAATATCCATTCCAATGCTCCAAGTGCTTCGGAGGATACGCAAGCGAAGATGCAAAAAATGTCCATGAAGATAACTGTGGCTATCGTCAGTTGCAATGCCATTTGTGCAAAGAGCATCGTCGAGACAAACACTTCCTGAAGTATCACATGCGAAAAGATCACATCGGAGAGCGGATTCAATGCGAGGTGTGTGCAGCAAGCTTTACCACAAAAGGTAATGCCAATCGACACATGAAAGTAGTTCACCGTTTGATGGAAAAATAAGTCGCACATTCCATAGATTTAATAAAACGCAGTTGAATTTGAGATCATTTGCTCGTGATTCATAAAATTGATTGAATTCATAGCTTAATACACTTCAGAGATTTTATTTCAAGAATTTGAAATCATATGCAAACAACATTTAATATTTTTCGCATTATATGAACTTCATGATCACCACCTTAGACTTAAGCTACATTTTTGATTCAAATGAAACACAAATAAATTGAAATAGCAACAGAAAAAGAGAAGAGTGTTGACTTATATTTCGGAGTTTTTTTCACAGCAATTTCTTCTTAGCCATCAAATGAAACAAAAGCTGTTTTTGACGAATGTCTTATATCAACGAAATCCCTTACGTTGCGTTCTGATCAAGTTCGTACAACGTTTGGATAATATCGCAGTTTCATGGCGTTCAAAATTCCACATATCAAAATATTTGGTTTTAGTTGATTTCTAAATATTATTTGTCCATCGGTTTCATTTCTTCAATCATTACACATTACAAGTATTTTCGATCGCAAACAAAAACACGCTCCTTTCATACGGCTCTTTCTCAATGCATGTTGGTTGAATAATGATACGCGATAGATCAAAACGGAGAAATACTTGATGTATTCTGTTGACGATTGAAGCAAAGTATATCAAAAGCGCCACCTAACATGATGCGACATTGGATGCGACGTTCGAACGAATCAACACCTCTGCGTACAACGCACACATAGACTCTTTGCATTCACACGAACGTACACACAAAAACTTTACTTTCACACGTACGTATAGTTACAGAGATTTGTGATTGGTGGCGCTCCCAACAAAGTTTCCACAGCAGTTCTAAACGTCAAACATTGCTATAGCATATGAGCTAGACAGTGTTGCGATAGATGAATGAATGGTTCAGACTGGTTCTAAGTCATTTTAATTGTTTGTGCAAGCCACAGAATTCTCTCGATTTGCATACTTTATCAGCCTAAATTCGTAATAAAATCCATTCCTAATTCAATTTTTGCTGAATTGTAGCATTTTCGGGAATATCAAAGAATAGCTCAGTTGCTAGTCGGCACACAACGTTATTATCGTACGTCAATTATACATGTATCTCACACTCGCATTCAATCATTCGATGATCCTTTCGATAAACATTTATATTCGGTGCGATTTAAGAAATCTCAGAAAAGTCCAATATGATTCAAATTAGAATTTACGACAATAATGCTTAACGAAATTTATTGCATTCTTCGATCGCGGGGTTTAAACAATTGAACATTGGACAATACCAAATCCTAATTTGTTTACATTCCAACAAAAATGTGGCGAATGAGTTTGTTTTGGAAACAGTTTGTTTATATCACTCAGCGAAACCTACCGCGATAAGTGACACTCGCAATAGTGGAATATGT